GCGGGTGCCATCCCCCTCCCTCCCCGCTCTGTCCCTGGCGAGGCGAGGCCGGGGCGACCCTGGCCGCGGGCTGAGGTGAAGTCTCTGGGGGTTTGTTCCCTCCTCTCGGCAGGTTACCAGCGAGAAGCTGTGCCGGGCCCAGCAGGAGCTGCACTTCCAGGCCGCCACCTACCTCTGCCTCCTCCGCAGCGTCCGGGAGCACACGGCCCTCCACCGGGAGTACCACGGCAAGGGGGAACGCTCGCCGGAGGAGGTCGCCGGCCTGGTGGGCTTCAGGTTGCCTCAGCAGCCCGGAGGGAAGGGTTAAGATGAGTCTGCCGCGTTACCTATTTATTCCTGAATAAACACACCCTAGAATCGTCGAAACGGGATGGGTTTCCTCGCTTGTGTTTTTCTGTCAGGTTTAGGCTGCCGGTATGGTGTGAAAGCAGCCATAACTGGGAATCCCTGTCTGGGTTTATCAAGTGTACTAGATCCGTCCCCTTCGTTCTGAACGTGTGGTATGGCAGGCAACCTCCACGGAATGAGAGAAAGGTGGTTTGTGGTAGGAAAACGTGCCAAGGCCTTCACTGCTAAGCTCTTTGCCTAAAAAGTTGCAAAGGTTGCTGGTTTCCCCCCCTCAAAATCCATAGGTGAGAGAATTTGCCTGTTCATTTTAGGGTTTGCCAACCACGGTCTGTGTGTGGGGAATTTTCTACTCTCCCAAGAGCGAAGTTGCTTTCTTTGGAACATCAGTGGGTTCTGGTGAGCTCTGCAGTAGCATAAACCTCTTTCCTCTTGGAAGATATTTTTTTTCCACGGGGTAACAATTCAAAGAGATAAATACTACTTAAAGAATTATGTGTTTCTCAGTATCTCTGAGTGGTTGACTCTGCGACTGTACGCTTCCTATGCTGTTCTTATACACTGCGAGTCTCAGAAAAACTCAGTGGACAGATTACTGCCAGTTACAGTAGCTATACAAATCAGGCTGCCATTTTCTTGCTTGTCTTACAATCTGGAACAGCAAGTCTCTTTTTATAAGAAAAGAAATACTGGCTTGAATTGTCACTGCCCTCTTCTCAGAGGAGGGTTGGATTATATGCAAGATACGCAAGAAATCTGTAATAAGGATGACTTACAATGGCTAAAAAATGTGAGGCTTGTTTACTTGGAGGAGGAGCTATAAGCAAGGCTAACAAAGAGTGCTTCTTTGTTTTGTTTTTTTTTTGTACTACCAGGGAAAACAAAGTATTCTGTCAGAAAGGCATTGCAAATAGAATTACTTCATCTATATATATTCTCCTTGCCCTGTATTTAAAACTGAGGGATAGTAGATCCTTAAAACTGTGAAGATTTTGGCTACTTAAGTAAGATAAGTGAACTACAAGTTTTGAGGTTCTATAGACTAAAAATCCAGTTTGTAATTCTTGCAGTGTCTTTCTAGTCTAACAGTGGTGGGTTTTTTTGAGACGTGTTGGTATGACAGATGAGGAAGTACCAACCTTGGAACCTTTGGTACCTTTGCAGCTCAGTAGATGAAAGTTATGGGAAGTCACCATACCCTGAGAACGTCTGGGGTGTATTTGTTGCTGTGAGTTATTTAATGCAGCTGCTACCTTCTGCAGTGTACTTTCCAGATGGACTAAAGGTTTGCTCCATCCAAAGTCTACTGTATATTGCTCCAGAAGAAAAATACATGGCTCACTGAAACCAGTTCTGGAAGAAAAGCTGAAATTTGGCCAGAAGTAGATGGAAAAAGCAATCTTTGCTCTTTAAAGAGTACCTAGAACTAAAGGTTGTATGGTGTGTGTACAAATAATAGCTAAAATGTCTTCATAGAGAAAATTTTAACCTGTATCTGTATCAATTCCAGTTACTTCTCCTTCAATCCAAAGTAACACAGTGACTTAACAGAAGCAAATTTATATGCTGAAGAAAAAACAAAGCTGGGACATTTTCTGAATAGCTGAGGAGCACTGGGTAGGGAACCTTTTCCTAAATTTGTTGAAGACTCCTGTCTGAGCATTGCATCTTCTCTGCAAGTCCTTGTGAAATCCAGATACTTGAGGGAGGGTTTTTTTAAATGGCTTTTTAACGTTTCCTTTTCTCAGTCATATTAAGCTTATCTTAGAAGTTGAACACGACCCTGGCTGTGGACGATTAGAACTGATCCTTGTGACAGTCACTGGCGGCGTTTGGGCACTAGATGGCAACCCGGTGGTTAGGAAAGGGACAGTCAGAAAACGCGGGCGTTGGGATAGACAGAAACCGTGACAGTATTTTTTCTGAGGCAGGGTCTTGGTAGTCTCTATGTTGAATTAACTACAACACGTCACAGCAGCTTCAGTTTTAAGGGAGGTTCTCTAAAAAGCGGGTATTACAGGAGCTTTTCCCACCAGCGCAACCACAACTGTGCTCAACAGCTTGAGAGAAGCACAGTATCATTACAGCGGTGCCGAATGTCAGTCAAATAAAGGGAATTCTCTTCAAGAAGCATATTCCCTCAGCGCCATCTCTTGACGTACCTACCCGGTCACCCCCGCTGCCACCCAGGCCCAGCAGCGGACGTGCACCCACGCACTTGACATCTCGCTGCTTCCGCCGGCCGAGCGCCCCAGCACAGGGGAACCGAGCCTGCCCCGGGGATGAGCAACGGGCACCGGGCTGG